CCAGAGATAATAATAAATACTTTTGATACTTAAAATTTAAAGATAATTTTGAACTGTATTGTAGGTCAGGATGCGGGTTACTTCATGTATGCTAGCACAGAACGAGGTCAGGAGGGAGACTCAGCCTGGCTGGAGACAAAGAGGATGAGTCCCCAGAGGGAGTGTCATGTCCAGTGTCTGCAGTTCTACTATTACAACAATGGGAGCCAGACAGACAAACTTAACATCTGGATCAGAGAGTTTCAAGATAACTGGGACTCCACAGGGACTCTCTACCTCATGGGACAGATCAGTGGTAATGAATCATTTGCGTGATTATTTATGATGATTTTCTCCAGTGAAGTGTAAATTCTGACATTTTACATTTTATGAGTGGATGTCAAAAAATTCTCCCTCCAGGTCTACCAACATCTCACTGGACTCTCCACCATGTTCCTCTAAATGCCACCAAGCAGTTCCAGGTGGAGTTTGAGGTTCGTAAAGGAGCAGGAAACTCTACAGGTGGCTTCTCTATTGATGACATCAATCTGTCAGAGCTCGAGTGTCCAGATGGAACCTGGCAGATTAATGATTTTGAGAGATTTTGGAACAGTACTCATACTCCAGCCCTGATATATAGCCCACGCCAGTATTCCAGTGAGGGCTATGCTTACCGAGTAGCGTTATATCTCCGCCAGACAGATTTTGGAGCATATGTGCAACTTGTCTCTGGTGTCTATGATGACCAACTGCAATGGCCTTGCCCACAAAGGCAATTTACTGTTCAAATGGTGGATCAGAACCCCAACATCCAGCTACAGATGTCAAGGCAAATGAGTCTCACCACTGACCCAAATCTGCTCACCTTCACTGGTACGTTTGCAGAAACATGAAGTAATGCTTAAAAAAATTCTACTAACTAAATTATTAAACACTCTGTTACATATGCTTTTGTATAAACAGGTGTTCCCTTTTGGGGCAAACCTCGTGATGTTGGAACTCAAATTGTTGATGAGAACAATGAGACCATCTATGTTAATAACCTGTATGGTAGATATTATTTTGCATCTTTGGAAGACATCAAATCCAGAGATTACCTCAAAGGAGGGACTGCCATTTTCATCTTCAGTGTACAAGGCAAATTAAAATAATTTCATTCCTAAACTTATATTTTAAGTTTCAAGTACAATTACTTGAAACTTTTACAACAGAAATGTATGAAACATTTGAATCATTTTACACAACATCAAAATGAAGTTTTCTATGATTATTTTAATTTCTTTATTCCAATAGATCTCACACCTCTAGTTAATGGAAGTTCACTGCCATGTCCTCAAGTAAGAACAGTAAAAATTACACATCCTCCTGGAGACCAGGATAAAGGAAACTGCTCATCACAGTAGGACATGTTATTAAAATACAATTCATGTGAAGATACAACATGTCATATGAAACAATATATATGATGAGAGATACTGCAATTTTCTCATGCATTTTTGAGCACCTTGCAAGAATAAGTGTGGTTGCTAGATGTAAGAGTTAATGCAGGTGAAACTCTAACAAGTTTTAATACCCCTCTGAAAATGCTTTAACTTTTACAGGATCTCAACCACCTCGATTCCTACCTCATACACAACAGATGGCAGGTACTGCAATGTTCTCAAACATTTCCTGATTTTTAATAAATAGAAAGTGTTTCTTTCAAACAGAAACACTAAAACTAACGCTAAAAAGTTTTAACATACCTGTTAAGAAATGCTTTGATGTTTACAGGATCTCACCCACCACAATTCCAATTCCAGACACAACAATCTTCTCAAACATGTTCTGTTTATAACAATGTGTGTGGACATGAAAAATGTAGATGTTATACCAATGATAG